TAGGACATCAAATATAAGCAGAAGATCAGCAAAGCAGAGAGAAAGGACAGATGACATACAAAGGAAAAATAATCAAAGTAGCAGGAGATCTCTCAACAAAATGGAAGCCCAAAGACAGTGGAATCACTAACATAAAATGATAAGAAAAAATACTGTCCATGGAAAATTGCATATTCAGCAAAACTATCACCCAATATTAAGGAGAAAATAATATTTATAATAAAAAAGCATAGGGAGGAGTTTAGAAAGAGAACTCTAAACGAACTTATAAAGGATTTACTTAAAGAAGATGGAAAATGATCCCAGGAAAAGAGTTAGAAATACAAAAAAGGAAAAGCGTTGGGTGCTGTGCACACCATCTGGGGGATGGACATATTGAAGCTCTGACTCAGGTGGGGCAAAGACAATATATGTAATCTAAACATTTGTACTCCTATAATATGCTGAAATAAAAAAAATATATGTACACAGAAAAGGAAACGTGAACAAAAAGAATGGTAATATAAAGGTAAGTCCAAACAAGCATTGTCTCAATAAAAAAATAAAGGAGTTCAATTTATAGCAGTTAATAAAGGAAAAAACTGAAATGGGTAAGTTGGGAGGGAAAACAACAGTAAATCAGAAGGGAAAAATAAGAACTAAAGTGATCTAAAATTGTTCTAAATTTCAAATAACCAGCTCCTGAAAAAAGAAGAAGAAGAAAAAAGAAACAAATAAAATTGTTCTATTGACCAGAAAAAAGGGAAAATATCATTCACCATTAAACATACACATTAAAATATAGAGAGACCAATAAAAGAAATAAACTGTAAAAATGTCAAATAAATGTAAGAAAAAAGTAGAATAGGGGAAATCACCCTTAAAAAGACAAGAAACCAGCATGTGAAGTTTTAGCCAGTGCAATCAGATAAGAAAAAGAAATTAGAAGCATAATAATTAGAATGAAGGAAATAAAGTGTCATTATTTGAAATAGTATGATTGGTTGCAGAGAAAACTCTAAAGAATTTATAGGAAACTACTAAAAAATAATAACAGAGTTTAGCAGGGTGGCTGGATCTCATGATCAACATACAAAAATCAATTGTAATTCTATATACTAGTAACAAACAATAAGGAAACATATATTTTTAAAAGATATCTTTTATAGAGAAAAATAGAAATATCTAAGAATAAATCTAACAAAAGAAATACAAGATCTGTACCTATGAATTGCAAAACTTTACTGAAGGACCTTAAGAATAACCTAAATAAATGCAGGAATATCCCATGTTCATGCATTAAAAGACAAATATCATAAAGTTGTCTCTTCTGTCTCCCAAATTGATCTATAGGTTTAGCCCAAGTAAGGTCAAATCTCAATCAGGTTTTCACTAAAATTCCCAAGTTACTATGTATTGCATATAGAAGAGCAAAGAGCCAGCATAGTCAAGACACTTCAGAAGAAGAAATTTTAAAAAGAAGACTTGCTCTACTAGAAGTAGCATGGCAGACTACTACCATGGCAAAGGAAAGACTGTTCAACAAAAATGAACAAACAAACAGGAAAAATTGGTTATCCATGCTGGGAGAAAAAAAATCAAACAAACATGGATCTTTACCTCACATCATACCCAAAAAAGAATTAAATGTCAAATGCAAAAAACCCTTCAAATCCTATAGGGGAAAAAACACAGATGAATATCTTTCTGACCTTCAAGCAGGAAAGGGTTTCTTAAATAAGTAAAAGAAAAGTACTAACCACAAATTTAAAACTGTTAAATTTAACTATCTTAAAACTACCAATTTCTGTTTATCAGAAAACCACCTTAAAGAAAATGAAAAATGGGCACTAATTTGGAGGAAGACAATTGCAATATAAATAACCAAATAATTATTGGTATCAAGAATATATAAAGAACCAGAATCAACGAGAAAAAGACAAATAGACTAATAGAAATATGGGCAAAAAAAAAAAAGATATGAACAATCATTTCACAGACATAGGGCTAGTAAACATAAGAAGCTCTTCAAAGGCCAATCCCTTGAAATAAAAAAAAAAAAAAGAAGAGGTTCAACCTTACTACTGATGAAAGAAAATTAGAAAGGAACTCAACATGTTTTCTTATACATTATTGGTGGAAGTGTAAATTGGTAAAGCAACCTGGCATTCCCTCGTTAAATTGAATGCTCACGTATCCTAACCACTTCTAGATATATACACTTGAGAAACTTAAGCACTTGTGTACCTGGAGTCATGTACAAAAATATTCATAACAAAACTGTTCATAATAACAAAAATTTGGAGACAGTAGGAAAATAGAGAATTAAATTATAGAAAACATATAGACATAATGGAATATCACAAAATAGTGAAAATGTATGAACTATATAGCTACCTGCCACAAATGGATGAAATTCAAAACTAGTGTTAAGTTAAAAATCAAGACTATATACATATAGGCCGGGTGCGGTGGCTCATGCCTGTAATCCTAGCACTCTGGGAGGCCAAGGTGGGTGGATCGCTCAAGGTCAGGAGTTCAAAACCAGCCTGAGCAAGAGCGAGACCCCGTCTCTACTAGAATAGAAAGAAATTAATTGGCTAACTAAAGATTTAAAAAAGTACTATATATATATTCTTTTATAAAGTTCAAAACAAAGCTAGATAATACAGTAATTAGACTTATATAAAGTGTTAATGCTTAATTTTAAAAACAATAAAAGGATAAACACAAAATTCAGAATAGCAGTTATCTAAGAGGTAAAGGCAGGACATGGGATGGGGAAATATGAGTAGTTATGATATGATTAGTGCTTTAGCTCTTGAGTTGTGTGGTATTTAGTTTAATACCTACATTATAGATATATACAGCATACACATATACACACAGTGCATACAGTAAAAGGCACATTTAATAGTGAAGAAATAATAGTAATGAACCTTTATGAGCCAAATAACACAGCATCAAAACATATGCAGCCAGACTTCTGGAAAAAGATGGCAGAGTAAGGCTCCATCACAAGTCCCTTCACTTCATATCTAAAGAAGGGAACAAAAATCATTTTTAAATGATGGGGGACATGTATTATAATTACCAATAACAGCTTCCCAAGAAAGAAAATAGGCCTAACAATACCATTAACGTTAGGAAGTGACAGCCAAGGGGTAGGGATGAGGGGAGAAATAATCTGAACTCACAGAGAGCAATGTGGCCCAACTCCTAATGTCATTTACAAAATTATGAGCTTCCAAATTCAAAGAGGATGGAGCCAAGTATGTCTCATCTTTTTCTTCTTCTGACTATAAGGTGATGAAATGGCCTCTGAGTAAATACCAGTAAAGGAGAGGATGTGAAGTGTGATTTTGAAAAAAGTTTTCTAGGCTCCACAGCCCATGACCATGTTCCCCCACTAGAATGGAGCACACCCTGGACTGGGGTGAGGCAAACTCTGACCTCTTAATGTTTCCTATAAACTCCTTTCATAACTTTCAAGTGTTCTTGCAGGAAGGAAGTATTCCTTATGGTGAAGAAAAATTTATCTCAAGTTCAGCGAGCCCCTTCACTTCACCTGAGAGTTTTGGGCGTTTTGCTTGTGTATGTTTGAATTTTTTTGTGTGTATTATTAAATTCTATAAACTGAAAATTTGATAGTTTTCATTAAGAAAAAGCATTTTTAGTATGATTTTATAAAAGTATTTCTGGGCCAGAGGCAGTTTGGCTCACACCTATAATCCCAGCACCCTGGGCCAGGAGTTCAAGGCCAGCCTGGGCAATATAGCAAGACCCCATCTCTCTCTCTCTCTTTTTTTTTTTTTTTTAATTTGAGACAGAGTCTCGCTTTGTTGCCCAGGCTAGAGTGAGTGCCGTGGCATCAGCCTAGCTCACAGCAACCTCAAACTCCTGGGCTCAAGCAATCCTGCTGCCTCAGCCTCCCGAGTAGCTGGGACTACAGGCATGTGCCACAATGCCCTGCTAATGTTTTCTATATATTAGTCGGCCAATTAATTTCTTTCTATTTATAGTAGAGACGGGGTCTTGCTCTTGCTCAGGCTGGCTTCGAACTCCTGACCTGGAGCGATCCACCCGCCTAGGCCTCCCAGAGAGCTAGGATTATAGGCGTGAGCCACCGCGCCTGGCCAAGACCCCATCTCTTAAAAGAAAAAAGTATTCTGTTTATCTGTCTAACCCATCTAATGTTAATGATTTTTTTTTTTAAGAGACAGAGTCTCATTCTGTCACCCAGGGCAGAGTACAGTGGGCTCAAACGATCCTTCCACCTCAGCCTCCCAAGAAGCTGGGATTATAGGTGTGAGCCACCACACACCTGGCCACGATAATTCTTTATGAGTGGTGAGATTTGGGATAATTTACTGCTATCTTTATACTTTTCCCCATGGTTTGATTCTTTAAGAGAAGCATATATCATTTTACAAACACAATGCATGTGTGTATGAAGACACAAATAAAATAGAAACAGCTAGAAAATATGATACTAGCAAAAGCTTGCACAGTGAGTGCTTACTGTTTGTCAGGTGCTGACCTTAAACCCTGTACATGTATTAGGTTGAATCATATAAATTTGCCAACATTTGGCTTTCATGACCTACACAAATGGCAATTTCACATGGTTCAATTTATATTTACTTCTTTAACCCTCGAACAGCCCTAGAGATAAAGAGGGAGGGCTGCAAGAAATGCACAAGGAAATCAAGTGTCCCCCCCCCCCGTTGGAGAGCCCCTCTTCTCCAGTTCAGGGTGCACACAAAGGCCATGGGACACTTCTGTGTCCCAAGATGCCTTCAGACGTGGCATCCACCACCAACCTGAGTGCTGAGATAGGACATGTGGCCTTGCTCTAAGTGTATCCCCTGAGTGAAGACACTTCAGGTTTCTAGCAGGTACCCCAGAAATGAGAGCCAACAGAACAGCTTCGGTACCCCAGCAACTCCAGTTGAGTCCCCCACCCATGCGGCCCCCACACTGGCACTGAGGCAGAACACACTCAACAGTTTCATGTTTATTTTCAGAAAGTGATGAAGACAAAAGAAATACATCCAGGCACCACTCTCTATACAATAAATAGCCTCCCCGTTCAAAAATAATAAAAAAGAAAAAAATGTGTGCATGTGAACACACACACACACACACACACACAACCACCACGAACAAGCTCTTGCTGCTTGAGACGTGCGCCATCCCCCCCTTCCAGCCCCTTCCTCTGAAGCCCACTGTGTCCGACCGAGCAGGTGGAGGCCAGGCCAGCTGCCCAAAGTCACCTGAGTCCTCTCCCAGCCCCGGGCTGGCTGATGCACAGGCAAACAAAAACATGGAAGGTTACTTTACAAAGGCAGGGGGCTGAGCCTTCCGTCCCCATCTTCCCCAGCTGACTCCACCCACCCTGCCAGACGCTAAGAGGCTCCTTTGTGTCCGAGACCTTTTCCTTGTCTGTTTTCTGTTCTCTGGCTGGGAACCAACAGCCAGAAGCAGCACCAGGTAAATGACTGTAGTTAGGGAAGAGGAAGGGGCAGGGGACACTCCTGTCACATTTCACTGTGGGCCAGGAAGCAGCCAGTGAACCCCAGAATCGTTCTTGGCCCCCATCTCCAACTACTGTACGGAGAAGGGACAGAGGGAGCCGGGGCTTCTCAGTCCTGACTCTGTTTCCTAAGTTAGCGGTGTCCTCCAACCTAATAACACTGTTTCTGTTCCTTGCACCATGTCATCTGCTCAGTTGGGAAAATAGTTATAAAACTGGCCTTCAACTTCCTTGTCAAAAGGAGAAGGGGCCCCAGCAGGAGAGGAGCTGTCGCCACTGGAGGGATAGGGGGACACGCGCCTCCTCTTAGAGTCTCCTTCGCCCAGTCCTGAGTCGCTGGACTCTGGCCGGATGGGGGTGATCTCAGTCCACACCGAGGGGGAGCCCTGGTCCTCCAGCCCCCGGCCCTCTGAGGCTCCAGGGCCAGGTTCCACGGGCAGAGTCCGCATGGGGCGGAACCAGCTGGCTGGGCCCATCTTGGGAGGGTACTGGGGGGGCACAGGCCAGCCAGCTCCAGGTGCCAGGACCTCCTGGCCTCGGTAGTAGGACATGGCGGGCCCAGGGGCAGAGGGCAGGAATGCAGGCTTCATGCTGACTGCCCGGAACTCGGCCTCATAGCTGTGGTCCCGGGGGGCCCCCAGCCAGTAGGGCTGGGGAACCACATCCTTGGCCTGGCCTGGAAGGTCAGGGTAGAAACGGCTGGGAACAGGATACTGGTTGGGCAGGAGAGGAGAGTAGTGGTCTCCCCCAAGGAATTGACAGTTGGGTCCAGGCGGGGAAGGGACGCTGGTGTCAACAGATGCATACATGCTAAAAAACAGGAGGCAAGAAAGCAGGGGTCACTGGCAGAACTGGTTCCCTGTGAGCCCACCTGTTGCAGGTCCCTTCCCTGACCCTCCTTCCCTGCCCCGTCCACCCTCCAGCACCCTCCCCACTCCCCAGCACCCTCCGCTCAGGGACAGGCAGAGGACTTGATCTGGAGTCCCATCTCAGGAGGGACCAAAGGGGAGTTGAACCCAGTGGCACTTACGACTCAAAGTTCTCCCGGAATCCTTTGGCAAAGGGGTTGTTATCAATTTTCAGCTGAGTAATCTAGAGAACAGAAACAGAGCCCTCTGAGTCCCAAGTCTAGGGTTCAGAAACTTCTAAAATCCCTCCCCAGGAAGATGCAGCCCCACCCTGCCCCAGCCCGATCCCAGGCTCAGGCCGGCCCTGCACCCTGGCCGGGCAGCCCTCACCTCGGCATTCTGGTAGGCGGTCACCGCAATGAACTGGGTTTCTTGGAAGGTAAAAATATGCGTGTTGGAGGCATTGCAGGCCGCCTCAGGCTCTCCGTCGTTCACCTCCACGATGTGCAGCCGGGGCTGGTACTTATGGAGGGACTGCAGCACGATCATCTGAGGACAGAGCGAGATGCTCGCAGGGGACAGGGAGGAGGGAGTCAAAGGATCCCCCCACCCTCACCCGCAGCCGGCCCCACATGAGGCTAGGAAGGACCCTGAGGTCATCTTGTCCATTCTCCTGCCCTGCCACCACATAGCCTCTTGGCTCCTTTTCTGCCCCTAAATGTCCACAGTGACCTACTAGCACACACACAAGGCTTTCTAGAGCAAGGGCACTCAATCAAGAGAAACTCTGTATCCATTTCCCAGGACCACTGGGCCCAACTCTGTGCCTGCCCTGGTGCACGAGCAATGGCAACCTGGGATTTGGTGAGAAATCCCCAGGCTGGCTTGGCCTGAATGTGACCCCCCAACCCACATCTCGGATTCTGCTTCCTCCCATCTCATCTTCCTCCCAAGGTGGGTGGGAAAGAACCAGCGATCGGAAGGGGGGAAAATGACCCTTACAGAACAGAATAGGCCCCGCAGAGCCCCTGTGGCCTTGGGAGAGCCTCAGACTCAGGGGGAGAGGCCACCTTTGGAGGTGCAGGTCCTACCTGGGACGCATTATTGGAGGCCCCCTTGTTGTTCGTGAGCTTTAGCTTCCCAAACGAAACTTCCTGGCGCATCCAATGGGCTCCAGTGTTGGGGGAATCTGGGTGGACGTACAGGCGGTTTCCTGCGGACGGTGAAGCTCTTTGGCGTGCAGCCCGGGGACAGAGCCCTGGCGAGGTGGGGCTTTGCCTATTCTGAGGGGCCATGTGGAGAAGGATGCAGGGGGAGGACCAGATGGGGAGGGCAGGGGAGGCGTGTGCTTGGGTCCAAGCAGAGGAAGGGCTACAGTAGAAAAGAGACAACAAACAAAACAGAAGCCAGAGGAAGGGTGGAATGGGGTGGGACGGGGTGGGAGGGGGAATTAAATCCTCAGCGTTGGGGGCAGGGGCTTGGGGGCCCACCAGGGGGCGCCCAGTCTCGGAGAGACGGAGTGGCCACCGCACCCAAGGGCACACGCACCTGGCATGCTGCCCTCGGCCTTTCCACACTGCACCCACTTGCCGCTCTGGTACCGCCAGTGGTGCTGGTCCACCAAGACCACGTCCACAAACATCCTGTAGTGGCTGGTGGGCTCCAGCCCGGCCACCGTAAATGACAGGAAGGGGAACATCCGCCTGGGGAGAACAGAGACCTCCAGTAGCCGTCACGTGGCCAGTCACCCGTGCACAGGCTCAGTGGTGTGCGGGAGCCGCCCCGCCCACTCTCGGGAGCCAACTGGAAAACGTTCAGGGAGTTTGCCAGCCAGTTATTAAACACAGCCATAATTAAAAATTAAATTGTATAAACTTACAATCCAATATCTTATTAAAAACCAAGGTAATAAAAACTCAAAACTCATCACTGCCCAGTCATTTTACTGCGTTTTACTATGGTCCGTGCTCTTGAGGTTATCTGTGCCTGTTGCACGCGTACCGTGGAGATACCAGACGGTGGTGCTCCGAGCATCTCTTCCCAACCCCACGTTCAATGACATCACGTTGGTAGCTTGAAATCAGCCACAGTAGGAGTAGTTACACCACGGCGATCAGGAAGCACTACAAATCGGGGCTTTTTAAATGACCCCTTTCAGAGGGTCGGTTGCTAGACACACATACACCTGCACCATTGTCTCTGACCTGAGTTCGCTTCCTAAGAGGCGGCAAAAGTGCCCGCTGGCCCTCCGCAGGTCCTCCAGCCTCGGTGTTCCAGCCATCCTCTCCACCACCGCTCTCCCAGGGCACTCCTAGCCCCGGGCACCCGCCCACAGGCCCTCCCTGCCCATCCCGCTGGGCTGGACGTCTACAGTATAGCCTGCCCCCACCCCGCCCTGTCTTCAGAGAAGCTGCTAGCATCCAGGGTAGACAGGGAGCTTCCCATCCGCCCGAAAGAAGGTTCTATGGAACACCATCCTCATGCTCAAAGTCCTGGTTTCCAGGAAAAGTGGAGGAAGTTAGGGGTGGGACTCATCCCCCACTGCACGAGAGCAATAGATTCAGAAAAAGAAGCACTCTTGTGCTGTCACCACCTCCACCCCTCCTGCATCAGCGCTGTCACTGCAATCACCCCTTCCACTATCACAACCACCATCACTATAACCACTAGCTCCATCAGCGTCAGCATCACTACAACCACCACCACCCCCCCACCATCACAACCACCGCCAGCCGCACCGTCACTGCCACCACGCCTCCTCCCGCGTCGGTGCCAGCACCGGCCCCAATGGCTTCGCCGTCCTCCTCTAACCCAAGCAGCAAGAGCAGAGTTTTCAGAATGGCAGGATCAAATCCTATCAGAATCACCTTTCATTCCCACATACTGCGCGCCTCCTCCCATGAGGAGCCCGTGGAAAGAAAGACTCCGGTCCACGAGTCAGGAGCCCTGGAGGAAGGGGAGTTCCAGAGGCCTAGGAACAGTCTGTGGTGGGTTCTAGTCCCCAGAGGTTTCCAGAACAACATCCCTAGCAACCTTGGAAAGACCTCCTAGGAAAGTCTGTCACATTCCTGTCTTCCCAGACTATCTGGGCTGATAAAAAGAGACTTAGTCATTTTGGGAGGCCGAGGCGGGTGGACTGCTAGAGGTCAGGAGTTCGAAACCAGCCTGAGCGAGAGCGAGACCCCCATCTCTACTATAAATAAAAAGAAATTAGGCCGGGTGCAGTGGCTCAAGCCTGTAATCCTAGCACTCTGGGAGGCCGAGGCGGGCCGATTGTTCGAGGTCAGGAGTTCGAAACCAGCCTGAGCAAGAGTGAGACCCCGTCTCTACTATAAATAGGAAGAAATGAATTGGACAACTAATATATATAGAAAAAAATTAGCTGGGCATGGTGGCGCATGCCTATAGTCCTAGCTACTTGGGAGGCAGAGGCAGGAGGATTGCTTGAGCCCAGGAGTTTGAGGTTGCTGTGAGCTAGGCTGACGCCATGGCACTCACTCTAGCCTGGGCAACAAAGTGAGACTCTGTCTAAAAAGAAAGAAAGAAAAGAAAGAAAGAAAGAAAGAAGGAAAGAAAGAAAGAAAGAAGGAAAGAAAGAAAGAAAGAAAGAAAGAGAGAGAGAGAGAAAGAGAGAGAGAAAGAAAGAAATTGACCAACAAAAAATATATATATACAAAAAATTAGCCGGGCATGGTGGCGCATGCCTGTAGTGCCAGCTACTAGGGAGGCTGAGGCAGAAGGATCACTTGAGCCCAGGAGATTGAGGTTGCTGTGAGCTAGGCTGATGCCATGGCACTCACTCTATCCTGGGCAAGTGAGACCATGTCTCAAAAAAAAAAGAGAGATTTAGTACCCTATGGCCTTCGAGAAGTTAATTCTCAAACTAAACCTTGGTTTCTTCACCTGTAAATGGAAAGTATAACTGCCGGCCATCTTTCCTTTGAAAGCTGTTAAGAAGTTCGAAAGACGAGGCCATGAGCCACCACACCTGTAATCTTAGCACTCTGGGAGGCCAAGGCAGGAGGATCGCTTGAGGTCAGGAGTTCAAAACCAGCCTGAGCAAGAGTGAGACTCTGTCTCTACCAAAAATAGAAAAAAATTAGCCAGGCGTGATGGCTCATGCCTGTAGTCCCAGCTACTTGGGAGGCTGAGGCAGGAGGATTGCTTGAGGTCAGGAGTTTGAGGTTGCTGTGAGCTAGGCTGATACCACAAGCATTCTTTTTTTTGGGGGGGGGAAGGAGAGTTCGAAAGATGTGAAACTCAGCTCCTCTTCCCCCTGTCCCACCTCCATCGCACCCTCTCTCAGGCCCAGAACCATACAGCCCTCTGGCTCTGCTGGAGGACCCTGAGCAGGAATCAGAGCTCTGGTTCCAGGCCCTGGATCCTGGGAGCTCAGTACACCAACTGACTTGAGAAATCAAAGGTTAGGGATTAGGCCTAGAACAACTGAGGCTGGGAGAAAATTTTTGACACCTTTTTTTTAAGACAGTCTCGTTCTATTGCCCTGGGTACAGTGCAGTGGTGTTATCATAGTGCACTGCAATCTCAAACTCCTGGGCTCAAGGGATCCTCCTGCCTCAGCTTCCCCAGTAGCTGGGACTACAGGCGTGTGCCCCCACACCCAGCTAATTTTTCTATTTTTAGTAGAGACGGGGTCTCACTCTTGCTCAGGCTGGTCCTGAACTCCTGAGCTCAAGTGATCCTCCTGCCTCAGCCTCCCATAGTGTTAAGATTACAAACATGAGCCACTAAGCCTGGTCTCTTTTTTGTGTTTTGGAGACAGTGTTATTCAGTTGCCCAGGCGAGGGTACAGTGGTATCATGGTAGCTAACTGCAACCTCAAACTCCTGGGCTCAAGCAATCCTCCTGCCTCAGTCTCCTGAGTAACTAGGACTACAGGGTGCACCACAATGGCAAGCTAATTTTCCTATATTTAGTACAGACGAGGGTCTCACTCTTGCTCAGGCTGGGCTCGAACTCCTGAGTTCAAGCAATCCTCCTACCTAGCCTCGCAGAGTGCTAGGATTATAGGTGTGAGCCAGCTCCCCCAGCTACGCATTTTTTTTTTTTACAAAAAAATGTTTGAAATATTAGCCAGGTGAGTCTGGGTGCAATGGCTCATGCCTATAATCCTAATATTCTGGGAGGCTGAGGTGGGAGGATTGCTTGAGCTCAGGAGTTTGAGTCCAACCTGAGCAACAGTGAGATCCTGTCTCTACCAAAAGGGAAAAAAAAAAAAAAAAACCTCAGCTGGGTGTTGCATCATGCAAGTGTAGTCCCAGCTACCAGGAGGCTGAAGCAGAAGGATCTCTAGAGCCTAGAAGTTGGACGTTTCGGTGAGCTACAATGACACCACTGCACTCTACCCAGGTGACAGAGTGAGACTGAGTCACAATAGAAACAAACAAGGCAACTGAACACCCCTCCTCAAAACCTCCCACCTCTTAAAAATATAAATAAAAAATTTTAAAAATTGTAAGAAGAAAAAGGAAAGAACATAAATTAAAAAAAAAATAAATTGCCAGCCATGGTGGCATGTACCTGTAGTGCTAGCTATTGAGATGCTGAGACAGGAAGATTGCTTAAGCCCAGGAGTTTGAGATTATAGTGAGCCATGATAGCGCCACTGCACTCCAGGCTGGGTGACAGAGTGAAACCCTGTCTCTTAAAGAAAAAAAAAGAAGAAGCGGAGGCTCAGAGAGGTTAAGTGACTGTCCCTTGGAGGGAGAGCAGAGGCAGGGGCTTCTGCCTGCAGCACACACAGTGGTCTCCATCCCTCTATCCCGCTTTTATCACTAGCAGAGGGAAATGGAGAAGACACAGCAAAAAGACAGGGGAAAGGGAGAGGAGAAGGAGGTCTCAGTTTCTCCCTAAAAGTCTGGAATCACCACCAGCTGAAATCCCAGAATAGCCCCTGATTTACATGACACTTTTCTGGGAAGGAATGGGGAGTGGAGATGAGTCTGGTGTCAAACTGAGGCCCCCTAAAAAACTGCTTACCGTCCCACCCTCAAGATCTAGGACCCCAAATTCCTCTGCTGCCCCTAAGGACCAACTAGTGTTGAGATGATTTGCAGGGTCATCATACCCCACCCAGATCCTGAGCACCTGGCACTTGCTCCACTTCACCATAATGAAGTACAAATTAAAGTAATAAGGAGAAGCCAGGGCGGTGGCTCACGCGGGTAATCCTATGGGAGGCCGAGGCAGGAGGATCTCTTGAGCTCAGGAGTTCGAGCCCAACCTGAGCAAGAGCGAGACCCCTTCTCTACTAAAAATAGAAAAATTATTATTTTTTCCCCAGTTCCAGAATGCAAAAATAGAAAAATTAGCCAGGTGTGGTGTGTGTGCTTGTAATCCCAGCTACTCAGGAGGCTGAAGCAGGAGAATTGCTTAAGCCCAGGAGTGAGCTAGGCCAATGCCATGGCTCTCTAGCCCAGGTGACAGAGTGAGACTCTGTCTCAAAAAAAAAAATAAAAATAAAGGGAGATAAATAGTTTTTGTCAGTCATGTTGGCAAAAATGTTTAAAAATTGATATAACAAGCTGGGTGCAGTAGCTCAAGCCTCTAGTCCCAGCTACTTGGGAAGCCGAAGTGAGAGGGTCGCTTAAGGCCAGGAGTGTGAGACCAGTCTGGCAACACAGTCAGAGCCCATCTGTTTAAAAAAAAACAAAAAAGGAAAAATTCATAATATTTACTGCTGATGAGGCTGTGGGAAAATGGGTCCTGTCCCCTTGTAGATTACTGGTGGGAGTGACAATTGGTACCACCGTTTAGGAGGGTATTCTGGCATCGTACCCACCAAAATGCAAACTGTGCTCGGACATCACGAGATGTCCCCCTCCCACCCCTCCTACCAACCTTAGATCCCCTTAATAGAGTCAGGCGGCCACTGGTGAACAGCACACAAAAAGCAAAGCTGTTCCCCCCCCCAAGAGAAAAGGAGCCAGTCAGCCCTAATAGAAAACAGGCTTAAGCGCCACTGCCCCCCCTCTAATTTTTTTAAAGGTCTAAAAAGTTCTCAGAGTTGGGAACGTGGATAAGGGAAAATCATAATGGCTACGAGGGTATTGAGGACCATGTGGGACTGGAATCGTTGTTTTACCAACCCCTAACTTCACACACACACACACACACACACACACATCCAAATGCAAATTGAACTACTTAACAACACAGCCGCCCAAAGTTATCTTAATTATAATAATCAACCAATCACACCCAGAAAAGTGGGGATTGCCAGCGATTAATACACACCCACACACCCACAGAGACAAGGGCCTCTCTTTTCCTCCACTGGGAAAGTCTACCATCAACTGTTACGCACTCGCAACGCATCCGCAGCACACAGACGGGCCATGCAGGAACCCCAGCACACGTCTGTGTGTGGCACTCTCGGGCTGCCCCAAAACTCCACCGACACATGAACACAGACGCCAAAGTCTCCTGCTGGCCCAATCCGGCTTTGTGCTCTTGATACCCCTCTCCCTGGCCCATGTTGTTGGTCTTGATCAGTCGCTGGGCCCAGGAATCACTGCCCTGCTCCCCACCCCATTCCTACCCCTGGAGGAGAGCGGCCTGCGTGGGGGTCCACCCGAGCGATGGGTCTGGGGTGGGTGGGAAAGGTAGGATCTGGGAAGGAGTGAGTCAGCACAAGGCGAAAGGCTGCAGGGCCGTGGGTGGGTCTGGCATGGAAGAATTTTTCAAAGAGGAAGAAAGCCGTGGGGGATGTGGTTGATGGTGGGTTGGCCTGTCCCTCTGTGGGGCACAGGACTCCACGGAAGGACAGGCCAGCCCACCACAGCAGGAGGGGTGAAAGGAAGCTGTTCTCTGAGCCCAGAAGCCTGTCATGAGAGGAAATGGCCACGGACTTCCCAGATCACTGCAGCCTAAGCTGAGAAAATACAGGGGCGATTCACAGCCCATGGGACCAAATTGGACGCCGTGTGTCCTCTGTCCCCTGCACCCAAGCCTGGGGCCCTTAAGGCCCGACACACGAAGGGCATCAAAGGAAATGAGGAGCCACTGCCCCCTTCCAACAGGGACACTAAATGCCCAAAGTAGCCACTTAGGGTGGATCAAAAAGTGTGAGGGTTGTAAAACACACAGACACGCACACACACATTTATGAAACAATCAAGGAAACTGGATGATATTGTGGAATTTTTTTTTAGGTTTGCTAGTGGTATTGTGTTTTGTTTTGTTTTGTTTTTTAAAGCCATTTTTAGAAATACAGAGAGAAATATTTAAGGGTGAAATAATGTCGCGAACTTATTTACTAATTGCTGCACTATTCATGTAGTTGCAGGCAGGAGAGGCTGCGGAAGTGAGGATAAAGAGGAAACAAGGTCGGACGGTATTGACAGCGGTTGACTGGCAATGGGCCTCCGCTGCGTACAAATTCCACTCCACACAAAGGTGGACATTTTTCTGTCCACTTCAATAGGTAGTGGAATTTTTTCATAATAAAAATTGTAAGTGTATGGATCTAAAAGGGAGACAACAAAACGTGTCAAGTGAGAATTATTCAGCAGGAACGTGGAGGGAAGGAGGCCGTGGGAGTAGAGATGGCGACACACACTTCAAGAATCACGCCCTGGAGCGCCTCCCTAGACAGCCTACCTGCAGGCGGGCACCCCGCCCAGCGACGGCCACTCCCCGAAGTTCTGGCAGATGCTCCATCCACCCCACCCCTCCAGACTGGAGGGGCAGAGGCCTGGCAGCAGGCTGGGGGGAGACCCCAGGCAGGCCTCAGGGTGGGAGGGCCTCCTGACCACACGGCCGAGGGGAGGGTTAGAAGGCCCCACTGGATGGAACACAAGCCACTAGATAGCCCCACACCTCGCCTGTAAAGTGGGGAGACTGCTTGGCCTACCTACAGCACAGCTTAATAATGGAAGTGAAAGCACTCTGAGTGCATTGGGGCCTTCGGAGAGTGTGGGTGGCTGTTTTTACTGGTGGACATGCAGGGCCGGAGAAAGAAACCCAGGCTGTTACCATCTGGGCTCTGGTGCCCACTCTACCAGTAATGAGTGTGCTGTGTGACCTCAGAAGAGTCTCTGGCTGTCTCTGGGCCTGTTTCCCTGCCAGTGCAGTGAGAGCATTGGGCAGGATCTTTTGGGTTCCTTCCAATTCAGACACACGAGTCCAGAAGCCTGGGCTGTGGCTGGGTACACCCAGAGGGGGACTAGGATTGGGGGCAGCAGAGAGGAATTTTCAGAAGGCTTAGGAGAGAGGAAGGTGGAGACACAAAAGAACGTGCCAACTTCCCTGGTTTTCATCCCAGGGAGAGAGGAAGAGCTTAGCAAGTTGAAGCCAGTTGTGGCTGGCGGACAGGTCCCTCAATCCTAGGCTATGCCACAGAAATCGTCTGGAGGGAAGAATGCTCCAGCAATGCCCAGACTGAAAGCCAGTCCCCGGAGCCCAGCATGGCCTCCCCCCCACCCCGCCCCACCCCAAGCTCCACACTTGGTATGAGCTCTTCAACACGTCCCCAACCTCAGACCCATCATCCCCGGGCCACCCGTGACACAGCCCCTCCACACAGAGGTCCTCGCTGGCCCCTGCCCACACAGGCCCCCTGGGAGGGGTGGGTGCGTGCTCGCTCTCACGCCAGACACAGGCAGGGCGCACTCAGGGTGGTGCTTACTAAACAAATACCACACAAATCTCAAGTTTCTCATTCTCTCCTCAGACAGGAGCCTCTATCCGGAAGCAGCACCCTCAACCCCAAACTCTACCACTCAGGCACTGGGAGACCCTGAGGCATGCAGCCATGGAGCCCCCATTCCCAGTTCCCGTGGCTGGACGGCCAAACACCTGGACAGAGGTGTGGGCAGGTTCTCAGGGGACCAGCCTCAAGGGTGCGGTGCGGGGCTGGCCACCAGCTCAGAGCCCTGGGTGAGCTTCAGGCTCAGGCCTGAGGGCATTTGTGCCTGGAAGGGATCTGTGCCCCCCGCAAGCTTTACCCCCCCCCCTCAACATGCACACATCAGACATACGATCTCAAAGACAGACCGGAAAGGAAACTTGGCGACTGCTTCTCCATGTCACCAAATCCCAGTCTACCCCACACACACCAAAGCCGACCTGAGCACAAGAGCAGCAAACGGGCGGGAGGGGGGGCCGCGGGGGGGGCACAGGGAGCCAGAGAGATCAGGGGCCGGGGTCCCCCACACTGCACGACTCTGCCCTCCCTCCAGTTTCCTATACATGGGGCTAAGAGCGTCCTGCCCCTCAGCCGCAGAACACACGCTCCCCGCTGGCCACTGCAACTGTCAGGCAGAGAGGGGGGCAGGGGACACACCAACTCTGGGGGAAGCCATGGGCGCCCTTCCCCTAAGCCGAGGCGACTTTTCGTCGCGCCACACTCGCCTGCCTCCCTTTCGAGTTCCCTGGCTGTCGGTGTAACGCCCTGGGCACAAACAACCCTCCAGAGCCCCCTCTCCTCACTGAAACCCCACTGCCTCCTAAAACTCGAGCCCAAACTGTGAGGGACACGGAGTCCTCGGCAATGTCTAGCCTGAAAGAAAGAAAAGTCCTTGTTCCGGGCGGGCACCGAGGCTCCCCCGGTCGGCGCGCCTCACTCACCGGCCCTGCTTGGTGATGATCATCTCCGTCTGGTGCTGATTAAACTTGGACCACAACAGGTGGTTGTTTAGCGCGACTCTCAGCTTCCCAGACACCTCCAGCCCCGCGGGCAGCGCATAGTCCTCGCGCGGCCCCGCGTAGACCCCGGCGCGCGGGTCGGGGGCCGCGTAGCCGTCCCCAGGCTGGTAGCCCTCGGCGCCCGCCGGCGGCGGGAAGGGCTCGCCCGCCCCGGGGAAGCCGGCCGCCTGGGGCCGGGGCGGGTAAGCGTAGGCTCCGAGGAAGCGGCCCGGCGGGGCGGGCACCAGGGCGCCCCCCGCGTAGGACGCCCCCAGGCTGCCGCCCCCGCGACGGTCCGCCGCCTCCTGCGCGCCGGGTTCTGGGTAGAAGTAGCGGTGCTGCGGGTCGGCGCCAAGCGCCCGGCCCTCGTCGCTCGCCGGCATCGGCTCGGTGCCCGTCAGCATGTCTCCGCAGCTGGGCTCCACGATGCCCATCCGGGGCGGGCTGGCACCTGCTCGCAGCCGTCGAGGACCGGCCCCCCTCCGTGCGGGGGCAGGCGAGAGGGTCGCGTGGGCTGGGGGCGGGCAAGGGGCGGGGGCCCCGAGGGCGGGGTAGGGACCCCACTGCAGCCCGGCTAGGACGCCTGGCTCCCGCGCCCGCGTGTGACTGGTGCGCGGCAGCTCCCGGGCTCCCTCTCTAGCGGGCCGCTGTCACTAGCGTAGTGGCGCTTTGCTGTGGCTTTATGAAGCTCTCCGTGTCCCCCAACCCCGCCACCTCAGCCCCGCCCCGCCTCACCCCGCCCTCTCGTGGCTAATGCGAGGCAAATTCTATGCTGTTGACGAGGACTGGAGGGCCCCCGCGGTGGAGACCACAGAGTCCCGCAAGCGCCGGGCACCCTGTCGTTCACGCTTAAAGACCTTCCCTTCTGGGAACGTCAACCCTGCCACCTTAAAAGCTGCCCCATTTCTCTGTCCGGACCCTCGGGGAAATTCCACCCATCCTTGAAGGCTCAGCTCAAAAGCGGTCTCCTAGGATGGCTGAAATAGGACTTGCTGGGCCCTCTCGCAGCACTTGCCCCCTAGAAGCCACTTCGACCATGAACATTCAGCAGATCTTTATGGATGCCCATTGTGTGCCCAGGCTCTGTGCTAGGTGGCTTTGCGTGAGGTGTTTGCCCTCTTTCTCCCAGCCAGAGCTCCACGTGGGGCAACTTGGACCTCCAGCACTGGGGGCAGACCTGGAACCTGGTGGGCAGCAGGGGACAGTTCCTTAAAGGGACTTGCATCAGAGCCACCGAGGCCCACAAAAGCTCCCCCACCTGCTTGGCAGCCACGAGGTAACACCGGGCTGCCAACGTGGACAGTCCCAGGTCTGGCTGTGCCTGTCACTCAGGTATATGTGACCTGGGCAAGCCCCTTCCCTCGCCTGAAAGTCAGCCTCACATGCCTTCTCCGTAGACTGTGGGACATAAACAGATCTACTTTTCAGGGGGGCTGTGAGCCTTACGTGATATGGAGTAGTGCACCGCCCTTTCCGATCTATTATTATACCTGGATGGAGAGGCTGCTTTGAACAGATTCGGAGCCGGCTCACAGGCAGGAAACCCACCACATTCTCTGAAGGGCTGCCTCTAGGATGGGACTGTGGAGGGTTTTCTTTCTCTATTTTCTTTGTATGTTAACCAATGTAGTTAGACTCTTCTATGACGAAAACTATCCTTCTTTCCCCCAATTGAAAATAGAATCATTGGGAGTTTTCCTGTGTATAAGGATGAAACATGCTTATATAGGAAATTTAAGCAGCAAAGAAAAGTAAAAGCAAGACTGTATATATCACCCCAAACTCCACCCCGCAAACGCCAGTAGAATTAACATTTGGGTGAATACCTTCCCAGACAGCACTCCTTGTACACTGTCTCTGTCTTTTGCACATATGCACAAACACATAATTTATATAAACACTACAAATGATGCTTTGCAATGTATATTTTTTGTTCACTCCGCATGGAAATTTTTGCATGTCAATGTATAGGTAAACATTTACATTTTTAAGAGTATTTTGAAAAATACTTTAACATTTTTTTCATATTTACTGTTAGCCTCTTCTCTTCCTCCCTGCCCTGTCCCAGCCCTCCCCAGTTCTCCCCTGGGGACTAGCCTCAGCTCTACATTTCTGTCCCAGCCCAACAGGGCTGCACCCTTAGGGGCCCATGGGGACTCTCTGCTCCCAACTAGAGCTGAACCAAGAGGCAGGTTGGCAGGCGAAGGCGAAGCTGGGGACCCCAGGAGGCGGGCATGACCCAGGGAGGGTGGGGGGGAGAGAGAATCAGTGCATCCCCTGAGGATGGAGACCAGTTAGGTGACAGTACCAGAAACCCAGGACTGGCCTCCTCCCCTTACCCGCCATTGTCCCATGCCTTGAGGAAGGAGGAAGTTTCTGCTTCATGTTCAAAGTGGGGCAGCACTGACTGAAACAGAGGGTGACCTGGGGACCATTGGCTACTTTTTGGGAAACATGAGAGCTTTCAGAAAGACCCTCCTGAGTGACTAATTTCCCGCAGGAGACATGAGAGTCTTGAATGGCTGACACCTCTTTGGGAAAACATTTCAGCTGAGTGCTTGGCTACAGAAGGCCAAATGGAGTCTTGTTCCTCCCTCTCCCCCCCTCCTCTTTTCGGCACTAATCCTCAGGTCAAGTGATCCATCCCTCTGCCTCTGAACAGGATGGCCTGAGCTCCCACCAGCTTTCCAGGGCAGACAGGATGATGAATGTCAGAATCAGGTGGCCCTAGGGACATGCGTTTGGAGAGAGAGGGAGGCTGGGAGCTACCTCTCTATAACCTGATGGGCTGTTACAGGCCCTTACAGCCTGGCTCCTGAACCGCAGATTCCTCTCCCCCTCCCTTCAACTTCTTCCACCCAAAAAAGAAAGTACTTGTGAAAAGCGGGGGCTGAGTGGCCCTGGTGTCACCACTGCCAGTCCCGCCCCTCTGCCAGCTTGGGTGAGAAGAAGAACCCTGGCAGTGACACCTTCTCCTCCAGCTGCCATCTCACTCCCCTCCCAGGCTCCAGGGCTGGAAAGGTGGGAAAAGAGGAGCATGGAGCTGAGACCCCCTGGGATCCCCTGAGACTGCCCTTCCTGGCCCTTCTCCCATCCCATCAATATGGGAGCACCCACAAGGCTGGCCCTGGTGAGGCGGGAGTGACACACACAGGGCCCACCCTGTGTGCGGGATGGGAGAGACAAGGCCTCCAACCAACATCACGTTTTCTGAGGCAGGCTGGATGATAACATGGGAAACAAAATAACTTACCAAACACTCACCCTATTTGTGCCAGAGCTGGGTCTGGAACCCAGATCTCTCACCTCCTGGCCCAGTGCTCTTCCCACAAGAGTGAGGGAGAATCATAATAATGAATGAAAAGTCAATCATATGATCACATCAGAAAAGGTTTGGAAGACAGAAAACATAATCGCCCCTAACTGCCCGGCCTAGATGCTGGTTCTCTCCACGCTGTTGTCCTCTGCAGTATTCAAGGCTTCCTTTCAAGTTGTTTCCCATCAAGCTCACGCTCAGAGAGGCTCCCCAGAGCTCATGCAGCACCTGCTACACCTGTGGGCTGCAAACTGTGCCAGGAAGCTGCGACAATGTGGATGGATTTCTAGGACTTGCCTCTAGAGATTCTGATTCCTGGGCCTGTGGTGGGTCTCCACAACCTGTTCGTTTAAGGACTCCAGGGAGTGGGTCTACACATCCCACTCTCAGCCCCATTGCATTTTGCTCTCCCACCTCCAGGTCTGTCCCAGCCTGACAGTCACTGTGCCCTGAGATGCTGTGTGTGTGCCCCAAGCGGTGTGGGAGGAGGTTTAACGCCTGGGGATGGCAGCGACAGCACGGAGATTTCCTCCTCAAAGCTCCAGGACCAGATGATTCCTCACCCAAGAACCTACCAGCCACGTGGGGCCTCTCCCAAAAATGTGTGGAGTGCTGAGCCCCCCAGGAACCCAGACGGGCTTCGGTGCGGGCTGAGAAGCAGGGATACGGGGGAGCAGGGCCGGGCGGCTGTTGGTGGAAAGTCAGAGCACAGCGCAGCACCAGGACCCGGGGGCTTCTGCCCTCCGCCCACTGGGCAGAGCCCTGGAGGTGGTGAGAGAGTAGATGGTGAAAGAGAGGTGGGCAGCGAGGTGGGGAAGAAGCATGAAAGGAAAGAGAGCAAAGTGCGAGGCTGAGGGTGCATTTCTTTTTTTTTGAGACAGAGTCTCACTTTGTTGCCCAGGCTAGAGTGAGTGCCGTGGCGTCATCCTAGCTCACAGCAACCTCAAACTCCTGGGCTCAGCAATCCTGCTGCCTCAGCCTCCCTAGTAGCTGGGACTACAGGCATGCGCCACCATGCCCGGCTAATTTTTTGTATATATATTTTTTTAGTTGGCCAATTAATTTCTTTCTATTTTTGGTAGAGACGGGGTCTCGCTCAGGCTGGTTTCGAACTCCTGACCTTGAGCAATCCGCCCGTCTCGGCCTCCCAAAGTGCTAGGATTACAGGCGTGAGCCACCGTGCCTGGCGAGGGTGCATTTCTAAAAGAGAGATTTGGAGCTGGAAGGGGACAGGGACCTCAAAGTCAGAGACCCAGATGTGACACAGTGAGAAAGTGTCAGGGCAGCCTGCGAGAAGAGGATGCAAGAAAAGAGAAGAGAAGGAGATGGGCAGGAGAGAGGGGCGTCTACAGAGGTGGAGGGCTGGGGTGCTGGAGTGGGGCCAGAGGGAAATGGGGTGGGAGGACTTAGTAGTTGGGTTGGAACCTCAATTCCATCCCTCACTGGCTGTGTGACCTGTTTTAGTATCTTAACTTCTCTGGTTTCTTTGTCAGTACTTGGAGCTATCAGACCTTCTGCCCTACAGACTCACCAGGTCTGTAGGGTACAAGCTAAGGGGAACAGAGGCGCAGACTGTGCTAACCACTCCCTTTCTCCTCTTCTCCAAGGTACCTGCATCTTCTCTTTCTTCCCTCTGGTTTAGTGGCTCATCCAGAGTGGCCTTCAAATCCATCACCAGCCTCCACAAAGGGCCTGGGGCCAAAAGAGAGCCCCAGTTTGTAGGACTGCCATCTCAGAAAGGGACAGGCTTCCCCTCCTGATGCCCAGACACCATTTCCTGGAGACTTGGGTACTGAGGGTTGAGATAAGCCAGACTCTGGGGACTCCAGGGTCACAAAGGTAAATTAGGGTAGGTCCTTGTCCCCAAAGAGCTCCCAGCAAGGTTACCCCAAGAGCCAGAGTTCTCAAGCCCCTCAGCCCACTTGCCCCCTGGGTGTGGACTCACAACACCCCAGCCTGCACACGCACACACACCATTGCCCACGCGTGTGCACACACACCATCGCCCATGCGTGTGCACACACACCATCGCCCACTCGTGTGCACACACACCATCGCCCATGCGTGTGCATACACACCATCGCCCACTTGTGTGCACGCACACTGTACACAAAGGTGTGATAGAGAAATCTCTGTGACCCAGTCCCTACAGCCCCACCCCCTGCTCTTGTCCCACATCCAGCCTCCCAGAGCTCCTTGGGCATCTGACTCTGCCCACCCCACACCCTCCCTGACCCCACCCCCACCCCAGAGTGCCAGTCCTTCAGAGAGCATGGCCGGAACTATCAGATTAACAGCCAGGGAGGAGGGAAGGGGAG